CACAATCAATACAGGATGTATACAGAACCCTCTCTTTGACGGCCAAGGACACTTCAGGCTTCAAACTTCAAGCAAACAGCAAGGGATGCCAGTCAATAGGTTTTGCGACAAGGCGCTTGCCAAGGACTTTAGCAGGAAAACTGTCAATTTCATTAAAGCCATGAGAACGGAGCTAAGTTATTGTTCTCCCAGCTGCTTTGAACATGACTTGATCAAAAAAGGATAAATGTAATCAAGATTAGTTGATATTTATTTCCTTCATTTAAACAACTGACTGCTGAGTTTACTCAATGTAAAGTTGTTTCCTGCTTCGAGTGATTCTCATAATTGCAGAGATTCTTTTGCTGTTTAGTTTTTAATGAGAATAATCTAAGGTGATCATTAGATGCATGTGAATTAAAAAGCCACTCTTATCAGGCTCCTCTTCTTCTAATTTATTTTTGCACTCAACCTGTTGACTGATTTAGGAGTGGGACTCTTCTCGGCTATAAACACGCAGAACAAGCTGGGCTGGAGAGTTGCAGTGGAAATGATTGTGTCTGTCAGAAGATTTCTATGCAAAAACACTCTTGAACTCTTGCTTTTGGTCTTATAATTTGCTGAAGAGATCTTTCTAGTTTCACACCTAATTACACCCCACCTGTTTTTGTCATCTGCTCTTTCACAAATTCAAATTTTTTGGCTGAATTTGAACGTGTCTCTTCCTCTGTTTCTTTTTCTTCATCAACTCTTGGTGACCTTTCAGCGGGAGCCACTTTAGAAGTCCACTGAGCTAATTAACATAAGCTTGGAAACTCACCTGGCTTCAGCTGAAGTCAAAGCGACGCTGACGTGTTGTGGTAATATATTTGTGTTTGAACTGTTGAAGCAGAACAAAAACGTTGAAGACCAGGACGATTGTCAGCTTTCACCTTGTTGTCTGGGTGCTAAAAGATCAGAATTGTTTCATTTCTATGAGCTTCCGTGTTTCTTCTTCAGTACATTCATCACTGCCCCAGATTTAAAAAATATATTAAAACACGCACTCATTTAAAACGTGGCTGTGAGGCCAATTAGCACTTTATATTGTGGACCACTAAATCAGTTTCTTTGGAGTCATGAAATGTTTTTTTTATGTTGTTAATAACGCTACTGATCATTGCAGGGGAGGCTGGGAAAGACCTTTACCTCTCTGCATCACTAGCATCCTCACATCTCCCTTTCTTTCCTTTTTCATCGCTTTTTTCAACTTCCTTTGTGTACCTGAGCCTGTTTTATCATCATCATCACTTCCAGATTGCTTATTGCTTCTCATCCTTTGCTTTACAAAATAAAATTCCTGTGAGGTTTAATCTAACTCCTCATCATCAGTCTTATTTTGTAGTGTTTGACCTGAACTCATGCGAGAGGTAAAATTCATAACTGAACCAAAATTAACTTTGTCATATTTGAAGAAACTCAAATTAAATAATTACACCCAGTTCTTGTGTGGAGGTATAAAAACAAACACCAAATTTTGGATCCAGAAAATTCCCAAATATCTTAGTTTAATTTTGGGAAAAGGCAAAGTAAAAAAGTTGTATAACTGCAGGTTTGCATGCATTTCAGCCACACAAAAGGAAAAAAAAATCCCTGAAGTTCGCAAATAATAAATATAGAAAAAGTTAGAAATAATCAGCTGGTTTTAAAGATCTACATTTGTACATGGAGGCCTTTATCAGCAGCTGTCAGTCCTCAGCATCAGTCTCCTGGCATGGCCGCTCAACTCTCTTCCATAATAAATACTTGTATCATCTGCAAATGGAGAAACTGGAATCTTTGAACCAGGTGTCTTCTTATTTTTTGTGATCATTTGTTTTCACACTGCTGATCAAAAACAAAAGATCCGTTTCTGACTTCTGAGCCTAATTTGGTGAATTACTTTGGTAACAAAGTAACTGTTGGAGTGGGTTACAGCAGCAGCTCAATAACTGATAAATATTGAGACTTTGTGGTGATTTCAGGGAAAATAATTGATTTGATATGATTAAACAGTTTAATAAACAATGTATCTTTTCTATCAGCACACAACCAAAGTTAAGGGAACTTGTTTTTTTTGTCATTTCATCTCTTTATAGCATTCATGCAAAATTTTCTGTATCCTGCTATAATACCCATAATACTTTTCTATCCTTTAAGACTTGCTCCATCGTTATCTTTTCGTTCAGTCCCTCCTTCAGTTCTACTGTCTACCTCCCATCCTTTTCTATCTCTCTCTCTCTCTCTCTCTCTCTCTCTCTCTCTCTCTCTCTCTCTCTCTCTCTCTCTCTCTCTCTCTCTCTCTCTCTCTCTCTCTCTCTCTCTCTCTCTCTCTCTCTCGTTGTCTCTCGTTGTCTCTCGTTGTCTCTGTGCTAGCGGTCCAGTTAATTGCCTCCAAAGTTCACGCTGTCTCTGGGCTAATGCAATTTAGGAAGGGTCGGAGGCCCTTCATCAGCCCAGTACTGGCATTTCATTAAGTCTGCTTGGGTGTTAGCTTGCAAGCAAGTGCGGGTTTCACTCCATCAGCTCATCATTAGTAATTAATACACTGATGGGATTAGCTGCAGCATGAGGCTGGTGGCAAGTGGTCACTGTGGTGTTGCCGGTTCAAGAGGGCATGTGTGATCAGACATCACTCTCTCTTATTGATGAGGAGGATTGTGTTTAATTAGTTGTGCTGTAAAAAACTGAGGCTGTGTGTGTTAACATTTATGAGTGAGACTCGTTATCTGAAACATATTTTTGGGTTGCAGACCTGGACCTAACCTAAATTATTGCCAGAATGCATTTGGGACACCTGTTTTTATTGATCTGCACCTAAACTTGGGTTTCATATGGATGTTAGCACATGAAGGCTTTCCCACGCATGACAGGGGATGCTCTCCACAGAGTTAATTACATCATTATGGTTGGGATGGATCTCCATCTGCTCAGCCATTACTCCTTTCCCGTTCTGGGCTGACCCACACTGCGCTTCAGAATTAGATGCACACAGGCTAAATGGCCCTGATAAATTATGAAGCTATTAGATATGGGGAAGCTATTTTGGAACATATGCATTCACAGAGGGAGGAATAAAGGATGGGGGGAGAGAGAGAAAGAGAGGCAAATATGAACTGGGGTAGACGGAACAAGAAAGGAAAAAATAGAAATGTGAGAAATGAGAAATGAAGCTTAAAGAGACTTTGAAAAATGAGAGAAAATGAAAGAAACAGAGAATGTGCAGATAGACTGATAGAGGAAGTGAACATTCTCTGTCCGGCCAGACTTTCAATCTGCTTATTCCAGACTATTGTTAGAAGTTGATAAGATTTTTATGAAGCACGATCAGACGTTGATGGATTTCAGCATGGATCATGCAGACAGATCAGGGAACTGGAAGACAAAAGAATTTATGGCCATAATCTAAAGCGCCATGTCATGTCAGCATCTTATTTTTATCTTTGGAATTGGAATTTTTTTTAGGATTTGTCATACATGGTATGGTAGTTTTTGTTGTTTAAAATTTAGTTATTGATTTTTAGCTTTGTTGTTAAATACAATGTTTTATGATAAAGCGCTATGTCAGATCACTGTTTTATTTCTTCACACTTTCCCGCTTCAGTTCACAAGACAGCTGGTGTTGAACTTGAGTTCATGGTTAAAGGTGTGGCTCCCACATCACAGCTGAACTTCGCATGGCAGGTTTTGGACCTATTTCCTGGTATTTGGACATCTCGCCTTGGATTGGATAACAGCAACTGGACTCCGCCACTGACTTCTAACTTAGATGTTTTATCTCCACAAATATCACAAGCCTGGAGGAGCTTCTGTTGTGATGTGGAGTTGCTAACGCTAAGGGTTAGCATCTACTAGCCGAGATTTTCTCTCCTGTTTCCTGTATGCTAAACCAACAACAGGCTTCCTGTCGCAAGTCAAAGTTGATGAGTCTATGAATGTTAAGTGACAGTGTGACATAAATCTTTCAGGCTTTTCAGATCCTAGAGTTTCATTGTCTATTTTCTATCAGAAGCTAATGCAGGAGATTGGTGTAGGAGACTATTTTCATGTAGGGGCACACTGATCTATCAGCCAACCAATCTATCGGCCCCGATCTCTGTTTTTTATTTCAAGATTGGTAAACAGTGATTGGCCAAAAACTGAAATCGGTGCACCCCTACTTTAATGTTCAGCCTGCATAAAAAACTCAGAGTGGCTGATTATAATCAGAAATAATCGTTAAAATAGATTTTCAGTGTTCCACACCTTTAAGACATCCTGTTGTTGTGCTTGTTTCTCATAATTTAGTTCATTCTTTTTTTTAGAAATGCAGGTTTAATGAAAACATTTACTAAACATTAACAGGGCAGTGTCAAGTTTCTCAAATAACTCTCTAATTTTCCTTAATATTAAAAGGTGACAAGTCATTTGCTGTTGTGGCCCCCAGACTCTGTTACTCTCTCCCCCTGAGCCTGAGATCAGTGGACTCAGTGATCTCCTATAAAAAGCAGCTGAAAACTCACCTGTTCAGGCTGACTTTTGTGTGACCTTCGTCACCACCCTCTCTTTATTCTGCTCTTTCTACCAGTTCCACCTTTCCCGGGATCCACTGATTTCCCTCTTTCTCTCCCCCTTTCCTTACATTTTTTAAATCACAGTTATTTTTCTCATCTTAAACATTTTTAATCATTTTTTAAATCGTTTTTATACTTTCATTTTTTGTTTTTGTGAACAAATAATTTATTATAAATATAATTTTTTTCTTTCTTTCTTTCTTTCTTTCTTTCTTTCTTTCTTAGTTTTTAAATTTAGAAAATATAAAGTATTGAAACATGATTGATTCTTCATTTCCCCCTTGTTGTTTTAATTCATCAGTTTTAGAAAACAGCAGCATTCCCTTTAAAGATTTGGGCTTCATATTTGGAAAACCAAATTTGTGTCACCATACTCGCTGGAAGACAGTTTTTACATCTCTGACCTTTAGTTTTTTAAACTTCTGATGGAAAGCTCTCTGTGTCTTTAAGGTTCTGCTGATGGAGTACCTGGATGTGAAAAACAGCCGCAGCTCCTCAGAACCTTCGGCACAGCTCGCCTATGCCAGCACGGGCAGTGAGTTTGCTGCCTTCTTTGCAAAGAAAAGACCACAACGTGTCAAGCAGTCCCTTTTCAAGTAAGAATCACATTTTCCCTCCCACGTCTATCTTCTTAGTTTTGTTCGAAAGAAAGAGAAATGGGTTATTTTGTGTAAAATACATAAGAAATATGGTCGTCTTATAGAGCTGCTGTTCACTTTTCTGATGCCTCCAAGTCAGTGCAAAACCCACCTAGAAAAGCAGGAAGCTGTAATAATTTCTTATGTTCTAAAGAAAAGCTCGAGTTGGATTAACGAGTTTGATACTAATACCAGCTGTTTTTAAACTTGTGTATGAGGAGCAGACTTTGTTTTGTGATGTTAGCAGCACAGAGAGGAAGACAAGAGAGGAAGTTGTGTGCCACAGGGATCCTGGTTTAAATAAAGGGCTTATTAAGTTTATGAAGTCATGCCTCTTTATAAACAATTGAGTCCAAGGGCTTTACATAATCAGGGATTAGTCTCATTAGGATGTTAATGTGTGAAAAAAAAAGGTTTTCTGACTTTTTATCGTATAAAGAAAGGAATAACCTGTAGTTTTTATTCTACAGCTTTTAGGTTATGAATGTTTCATGCGTTAGAATTTTTTCAACTAACAAAATGTTCACAAACAATTCATAATGATTTTCCCTGTAATTTTGTCACTTTTTTTCAAAATTGATGCTTTTTATTGTAAATGGTTCAACCTTGTGTGCTTCCTTGTAGGTTTGAATCATCTTCCCATGCCATCAGCATGAGTGCCTATCTGAGAGAGCAGAGGCGAGAGCTCTACAGCAAAAGTGGGGAATTACAAGGTGAGGAGGGGGATTGAGGGATGAACTCTGAGGAATGGAGACTAGACTGGAAAGCACAGGGAGAGAAGAAAGATGAAGATAAGGGGAAAAGAGAAGAGAGAGTGAAAAAAGTATTGAATTGTAAAATGGAAATGGTGGAGGGATAAATTGAACAGGTCTGCAGTGTGAAGGATATTGTTGAAAAGAGCAGTGTTAAGGTTTAGTGAATGGATTTATAAAAGGGGGGATAAAGGTTATGAATGGACTGGAGAAATACAGCCATGAGAAAAAAAACCCAGATCTGCTAAATCACTGATAAGACAGGGATGGTAGGTAGTTGCAAGAAGTGTGAGGATATTATAGGAGAAGCAAAAGGTGAGTTTAGGGTGATTTGGTCACGTTTGGTAAGAGTGAGTGTGAGAGGTGGATGGTGATTGAGGTGAAGTGTTGTAATGGAGAGTATGAGAGAGAGTGTCTGGAGACAGAAAGGCCATGTCGCAGTTCGAGGAGTTGCACTTAGGAACAAAAAAGGGGCAGACAACAGAAGTGTGGAGCACCAAGCAGCGATGGAGAAAGAAACTGACGAGATGCGGAGAATGGGGTGACTTTGCAAAATCCGCCCACAGGGAGAGGCCTTAAAAAGCTCTCGCTCACACATTCACACGCACAAAAAGGCTCAGAGAGTGAGCTGCACAGTGAGACCCCGGAGACCCAAAACTGTGCTGCTGCCCTTTTACTTCTGTTCTTCACTCTCTGGCTCTCTGTTCATCTGCCTCTGACCTTGAGGTTTCAATCAGCAGTGCCTGATGGCGATGCTTGCTGCTGTCTGCTGCTATACCTTTTGTTCCACATCAAGCTCCTCATGGCATTGGATGAATAAAACAGAAGAGAGAGACAAAGAAACCAAACTATTACATTTAAGTGTACTGAAATGTCACCACTCCATAGCAGTGAAATTTAAACAATATCTGCACAACTTTTGACAACCGGTATATTCAACCTAAATGACTTAATTTATTTTTGTATTTTACTAAAGAAAGGCCAAATAATAGCTGAGTTGATAAAATGTTCTGGCAGACAATACAGCCTAGACTGTAGTTCCTTTTCCTCTAAATCATTGCTGAATACAGCAGCAAGTCTGTAAATATATAAAAAAGAACAGCATTGATTAACTGTGGATAAAAGAAAACTCCAAATAGTCTTCATATGAAGGCTCACCTCTTTTTCTTCTTCCATCTGTCAGTGCCTAAGAAAGAAGGTGGAAAAATATATATTTTTTGACTGACTGAATGCCTCGAAGCGTTTATAAGAAGATGAGATTTCTCTTGCTTTTATTTCACCTGTCACAGTGTGTAGTGCCGGCCACAAGCCCAAGCCTGGGCCTGAATAGCTGAAAAGGGATTGAAGGGAGTAAGAAATCATTTAGAAAGTGAAATAAGTCGAGTGTGATGGAAGAAAGGGGAAGATGGATGGGGGAGGGAGGGAATGGTAGGAAGGTTAAAAGTCATTGTTTTCATCAGGGTCCAGTGAAGAAGCCATTTAAAGACTTCTGAGGGAAGAAATTAGAAAAATATGTATTGAGACTGTGAGGAAAGGGACTTTTCCCCTCTCTTCAAATTAAAGTAACTGAGAAGTCAGGGACAGGAAAAGAGTTGGAAATGAGAGATTGAGTAGATGAATGCTTTTGGCTTTGGGATTATGCAACACTTAAAAATTAGTCATGTGTGTCTTTCAGTTTCCTTCTTGGCATTTTCTAAAGTCTTTTTCCCTCCATTGTTCTGGTTCAAGTTAATACCGTTATTAACTCCTACGCTAAGCAGTAAAGCCTTGGAGTTTTTTTTTCCCATTGTCCAATTTACATCCAATTTTGCATAATTAACAAATGCATATAATAGGTAACAAGCATAACCGCATACAAAGTTACAGCTAAAGATTTGTATGTGCTTTGTGAAAAAGTTGCTTTTATTTGGTGAATTTTTGGATGTTATTTCTTAGAAATTCTTTATTTTTGAGTTTCAGGGTCACTAAGATATACCAAACATGATCTGTTACTGCAAATTCATAAGTAAATTACATTACTTGTATAGTGCTTTAAACCATTTACTACCTGCAAAGCACTTTAACAGCCGTTCATCCAGTCACGCTCACATTCACACTGGTGGTAATAAACTACATTACAGCCACAGCTGCCCTGGGGCATGCAACACTGGTGTACACTGATGCCACCAGGTCTGCTGACCACCACCAGTAGGCAGGGCCACCTTAACCAGCTGATAGGCCCCAGGGCAAGGAGGCTCAGATGGCCCCCCACGACCCTTAAAATTTCCTACACACACACGCACGCACGCACGCGCGCGCGCACACGCACGCACGCACGCACGCACACACACACACGTAGTCTTTGGGGCAGTAATCCCCAAACTGGAGGAGTGGCTAAAGCAGATCCCAAGAAAAACATCAGACATCTCAGTCCAGAAAAGTGCAGTTCTAGGATCAGCTAAGATGCTGCACAGAACTCTCAAGCTCCCGGGCCTCTGTTAGAGGACCCGCGCTTGATGGATAATATGCTAGCAGTTGAAAATACATTATTAAAGCCAACATATCTATTTCAAAGTTTTATTAAACACCATAAAGCATTTAACAAAATAGTGGGGAATCACCACCATCACCTCATCACAAAAATCAAACAGTGATAACAGTGGACATCAGAGTGAGGCTACTGACTCTGTCTTGCTCTATCTTGCTGCATGCTTGAGCGCAGTCTATTTTTCACTCGCTCTCCACTTGCATTGGACACCGGCAAGGTCAGGATAGCCTCAGAGCAAAGTCTGTGTTTGGAGACACTGTGCGGAGATTCCGCTGTCTTAAAACTTTCAGTAACTCCACTGCCGACATGAACGTACTTGTTCAGAGACGGTATTTCTCCAACGGCCTGGATCGCTACTGTAAGGATCTTTTACCTCCTCTATCTGCTCGCCGGCTCCAAGCTCCTCCGCCGCTCCTGTCTGCTGCTCCTCTTTCCCTGTGGTTCCATGCTGCGCGGTCTGCTCCGTGCCTGTTGGCGCAGCATCCTCCTCTCTGCCCGGTGTGTCAGTGACCGGGCTATGTCCAACTTCTTTAGCTTTAGATTTAAACATTTCTGTCAGTTTAGGTATTTTCTTTCTAACTTCGTCTCGAAGCTCCTTCTCACGAAGCGCTTTCTGAGCACCGCTCTTAAATTTCTTCCCCGACATTTTCCCAAATTTCTTTACACCTAGAAGACCATGCCCCAACATCATCTAAATTGTGTGATTGGTGAGCTCATTGTGCAGTGGGCCTTTAGATGTCACGTGGGTGACCTAGGTCACTTGTGATTCGGATCAATCAGCAGCCTTAAATTAGCATCTAAGGTGATTGACAGAAAACCTGACAAGTAATAAAACTGTGGGTTTTTTTTTCTTTTTTTTTTTACTTGAAATTATAGGCCCCTAAGTTCAAAGTCCTCTGGTCACCGCCCGGTTTGCCCATGCATTAAGGCAGCCTTGCCAGTAGGCAAGAAGGTTGAAGTGTCTTGCCCAAAGACACAACAGCAGGTTGGCAGGAGCGGGGTGTGTGAACTGGCTATCTCAAATCAGTGACCAACCTCAGAGCCACTGTTGTCTAGATCTGTTTTTTCCTCAACCCTGAGCATCTAATTGATTTTCTGACCAGTATTTAGAACCAGTTGTTCAGATGTAAACTCAGAACAGTGTACAGAAAATGCTAAGAAATTCTAAACCTGTGAAAACTCCACGGAGAAGTGAACTTTGGAGGGATGCTAATCTGTTACCAGAGGTAGAATAAGGTTTCTTGAGAAACGGATTCTGAATTGTTAAGCAGTGTAAGATTGTGAAAATGCAGGCTCAAAAGACTGCCACACAGAAAGTCAATGCTCTGGTTGCCAGGCTAAATATAACTGACAATAAATGGCTTGTTTTCTAAAGGCTGCTCTTGCATGTGCTTCTACTTGCACGTAAATCCACTGTGACTAATCAATACTGGAAGGTCATGTGAATGAAAGATGCACAACATTCTGGACCTAAGATTGGATCATAGGAAAGTACTGAAACGATATTTCATTTGTACATTTGTAATGGGTAGTTTTAGGTAATGCTAAAGGGATATGCATGAAATAAGCATTCAAGCTCCCACAGCAAATCTTATTGCCCTTATCCACTACTGCAGGGGTGGGCAATCCCAGTCCTCGAGGGCCGCTGTCCAGCAGGTTTTACTTGTTTCTCTGCTTAAACACACCTGGTTTGAATCTACTAGTGATTAACAGGCTGCTGCAGAGCCTGATGAGCTGCTGAACAGGTGATTCAATCAAGAATCAGATGTGTTGGGGCAGGTAAACAACTAAAACCTGCTGGATAGTGGGCCTCGAGGACCAGGATTGCCCACCCCTGCACTACTGAGTGCTGTTCAATCTGGCTTGACTCTACATCTTTTGGGTGGTTTTCCATTACAACTGAGAAATGGCTGTAGAGGGTGGCCCCCTGAGTTAGAAACTGCGAGGTGATCTGTAATAGGATCTGTACAGTCAGGTCCTTAAATATTGGGACATCGACACAATGCTAACATTTTTGGCTCTGTACACCACCACAATGGATATCAAATGAAACAAACAAGATGTGCTTTAACTGCAGACTGTCAGCTTTTATTTGAGAGTATTTACATCCAATTCAGGTGAAGGGTGTAGGAATTACAACAGTTTGCATATGTGCCTCCCACTTGTTAAAGGACCAAAACTAATTGGACAATTGGCTTCTCAGCTGTTCCATGGCCAGGTGTGTGTTATTCCTTCATTATCCCAATTACAATGAGCAGATAAAAGGTCCAGAGTTCATTTCAGTTGTGCTATTTGCATTTGGAATCTGTTGCTGTCAACTGTCAAGATGAAATCCAAAGAGCTGTCACACCAGTGAAGCAAGCCATCATTAGGCTGAAAAAACAAAAGAAACCTATCGGAGAGATAGCAAAAACATTAGGCGTGGCCAAAACAA